TCAGGCCTGGTGACAGGCCCAGACACTCCTGGGCGTGTCTTTTTTCTCCTCCCCTGCCTGGGGCTGTATGCTGGGGCCGGAGGGTGACTGCTTCTCGGTGGGGAGTTGGGTTAGGTGAAGGAAGAGGGAGGAAGAGGCTGTAATAAGAGGCCTGTTGCAGTGGGCCAGGGGCTGCCCTCCGGGGCCTGCTGGGTGGGGTTTCCTGAGACGCGCACCCTGAGCTATTCTTTCCACTCTGGCTCTGGGCATCCATTCCTGGCAGGGAGGAGGGCACGCTGCCTGGACCAGTCAGCTGCTCCTTTCCACCCCTCCTTCCAGCGCACACACCCTCTTGCTGTAACCCCAGCAGCACCAGCCTCTCTGCAGATTCCTGAGCCTTAACCCGTAAATGCCCCATCTAGGGAGGAGATGCTTCCCTGATGCTGCGCCTGAAAACCTGACAGCCAGCGAGCCCTCCATCTGAGCCCCTTTCGGCTTTGTGCCGGCTGGGCTGGGGTCTGACAGGAGAAAGGAGAGGTGCCGGCTCCTTTCTGATGAGGGATCAGGGTCATAAGAGAGGGGAGCAAGCTTAGATCTGTGATACGGCAAGGACAGGACAGAGTCTGAATGTCTTGGTAATAGGCATTGTGGCGAAGAATGTTCTAGTGATTCAAGCTGCCTGCAAGTGGAACAGCCTTGCTCCTGTCACTGGATTGTATCCAGTAGGAGCTGAATGCTTGCTGTGTTTTAGGAAAATTCTGGCTTCCAATGGGGAACCTTACTAGTCCTTTTAGCCCCTGGAGACTTCGAGCCCCTCCAGATGACCTGATTCCTGGTTCCTGGGCTCTGGGCTTGAATCATCCTCACTCTCTAGATATTTCTCCTTCCCTTTCAACGCCACATTCCTCTCCAGCTCCCACCTGTAGTCATAGCTATGAAAGAAAACACTGGCCACTTCCCCCTTCCCCAGGGCCAGTGCCAGCCCCCACCTCATCCCAGCTGAGCTCAGTGGGGAGGCGGCCAGGGCTGTCATGAGGGTGGGGCAGCGGCCGGGGAGCAGGCTCAGAACGGCCGGTGCTGCAGGCCGGCGCTGCTCAGAGGTGAGAGTGGCTGAGCTCAGCCTCTCCCTGAGGGCCTGGCCACTCCCTCTCCGTGCCCAGGCCTCTACACCCGACCCCGGGTCCAGCTTTGTGACAAAGGGCAGGTCACTCTGCCTCCCCATGGCGGTCTGGTTGGCAAAGCGAGGGGTGGCTTACCCTAGCTGAGTGAGTTTCATTTCAGCTCTTAGCAGTGAGAATCTGTCTCTGACTACCCTCTTTTCCTCCTGGCGGTTGCACAGGACTGGGGACCTGGGCGATTATGAAAGGGGCTGACTGGCCTGGAATCCACTTGCTCTGTAAGCTTTCCATTGTCATTCGGGGTCTTGGATGGGCAGCTATGAGAAGTGATGAGAAGTGTCTGAATGAGGGATCTGAGCAGGGGCTCTGAGAGCATGGGCCCTGGAGTTGGACTTGGGGCTCACATCTTGACTTCCTCACCCCCTAGCTAAGTATCCTTGGGCAAGTGACTTGATGTTTCTAAGCCTCTATTCCTTCATTTGCAAATAGGGAAAATAACATCTACGCCGTTGGCTTCTTTGGAGGATTTAATGAAATAACTAAAAATAGTATTTATTATTTATCAGAGGTCAGGCACTGTTCTAAGTGTTCCACGTGTATTTTCTCATTTAATTTTTACAACTATCTGGAGGGTACTATTATAATATTAAACTCATTTTCCAGCTGGAGAAACTGAGGCATAGTGAGGTGAAATGGTCAGTGCCAGTCTCTGGTGAGCATGGCTGGTGGCTGAGGCCCTAGAGAATTGGACTGTGACCTCCTGTGTCCCCCAGGCAGAGCCACTGGTGAACTCCTCTGAAACCAGAGGAGTCAGAGGGAGTCCTCATGAGTCAGCAGCCCTCGGCACTGGGCCGGCACGCTGGGTCCTCATAGCCCATCTAAGGCCGGCCTTGCTCTCCCTGGCTCACCCTTTAGTCTGAGAGGGACCTGCTTGTCCGGCTCAGCTCTGAAGAAGGAAGGAGGCGCGGCTGGCCGCCAGGTACAGGGCGGGCACCGCGTAGCCTGGCTTCTCAGGGGAGCTCCAGGATCCAGTCTGCTAGAGCTGGAAATGAGTCAGGGACCGCCTGGTCCACTCAGCTCATTTCACAGAGGGCACCCTGAGGACGCGACAGACCTGGTACTGGTGACACTGGAGGCTCAGCTGGAGCTTCTGACCACAGGGCCTTTCTTGCCAGTGCCCCCTGCTGGTCAGCCTGTTCACCTATATGCCACCATCTGGATGGTGGACATCAAGTGGTCCGGGGTACTGAGATGAGGGCAATAATGACAAATAAACCCATCCCTCTTCCTGCAAACAGGCCACTGTTCTCTTGGTGTTTAAAAGGGGATTTAAAAAATATATTTGCCCTAGACCAGTGGTCGGCAAACTCATTAGTCAACAGAGCCAAATATCAACAGGACAACGATTGAAATTTCCTTTGAGAGCCAAATTTTTTAAACTTAACATTTTGTTATTGTTGCTGTTAATCCTTACATGAGGAAATTTTTCCATTGCTTTTGAGAGAGAGAGAGAAACATCAATGAGAGAAAGACACATCGATTGGTTGCCTGTGCCTGAAGTACATGCCTCGGACCGGAATAGGCAGGACAGCGCTCTGTCCACGGAGCCAGACCGACTACGGCTAAACAAAACGTTGTCAAAAACAGTGACTATCTCGGTTTCTTAAACTCAGCACACGCAGTTTTCAGTCCTCCGCTCCTTTCACTCCCTCTCCTCAGGCCACTCTGCTCCCAGTGCAGGCCCAGCACACACCCCCACTTCTGATGCCCGGTTTGCTGGGTCAGGGCCATCTTTCCTATTTCTTGCTGCGCTGGTCCATTTACTCTGGGAAGATGGAGAACAGCTTTCCTCAAAATAACCCATTTAGAGACTGGCCTGTAACTCAATCCTGCCTCCCCGCCCTCCTGCCGCTGTCCTCTCTGGATTATCCCAGTTGTCATAAGAGAGAAGAGATAAGGCAGGCCTCTATCTGATCCCTGAACTGTGAGCTGCCCTAAAACGCGGCTGCTCCTTCCAGCAGAGGCTGAGGCTGTCTGCTGACCTGGATCTGGGGTGCTTCCTCTCTGTGGGATCCTAAAAGTCTCCCCTCGGAGGGTGCTCTAGGACAGGCGGTGGCTATGTCAAGGGGCCCAGACTCTACCAGGGCTTGTCCCTAATGGGGGTCTTCCAGGGACCTCCTTCTTAGCTCTTCGAAAGCCCCATTTCTGCCACTTAAGAGGGGAATACCAGTCCCGGGGGACATTTCCTTGGCATAAGAGGCATGAAGAACACCGCATAATATGCCCCGGCCAGGTAGCTCAGTGGTTGGAACACCATCCCCATATGCCGGGGTTACAGGGTCGATCCCTATCAGGGCACATGCAGGAACCAACCAATGAATGCAGGAACAGGTAGAGCAACAAAGCAATATTTCTTAATCTCTCTCCCTCCCTCTAAGAATCAATCAATTAAGTAGAAAGAAAGAGAGAAGGAAAGAAAGCAGCATAATACAGAAGACAGACAGCTAGGACCCTGAAGGCCTTGGGGACTCTGGAGGCGTCATTAACCTGCCAGTTCTGTGCTCACGGGAATCACGTCACTGTTCTGAGCCTTGGTTCCCTCTGAACTGAGCTTTTGGGGCCTTGTCCCCCACTTTCCCCTGGCTGTAGGGTCCCCCCTCCTGCAGAGAAGGTAGTGACTGGACCTCTGGCATGAATCCTTAGGGCTCCCTCTTCCCTGCTAGCTGCTGCCCCTGGTGGAGACAGGCAAGAATCACAGGGACACGAGAGACCCTGGGGTTCAAAAGGAGTGTCTCCCCCTCCCCGGGGGCTTTGAGGCCCTGCAAGCACCGTCCAATCCCTGACTAGGCCATGGAGAGAGCAGTGGCAGCCACAGGCTGCTACACACCCATCTGACACGCCTAGGCTGTTATCTGAAAGAACCAGAAAGTTCTGTCCAGACCTGCCCTTTTGCGCCTCCTCCCAGCTCTGGTGGCCAGCTCTGTGCGCCCATTCCCCCTGACTCAGGCGTCCCCTGACTCAGCCTGCCACTGTCCACAGCCCTCTGCCCTCCCACGCTGGGGCTGGTGGCTCCAGTACCAGGCTAGCTTGTTGTCCTCCCTCCTCCCCCACCATCTGCTTGGCTCCTCCCCAGCTCTGCCTTTCAGGCCTGACTCTCCTGCCAGCTGCCATGGGGGCTGGGTTGACCCTTCAATGGGTCCCAGCCGGCCCTGTGATTCACCAGGCTTTGCTGGGCCATTGGGCTTCTTCCCTGCTCACTAGGAAGCTTTTAAAAATATTTTATATTCTTTATTTTTTAAAATTGATTCCAGAGGGAGGAAAGGCAGGGGATTGGGGGGGGGGGGGGGGGGGAGAGGGAGGTAGTGAGAAAGAGAAAGAGAGACATGAATCTGAGAAACATCTATCTGTTGTTTCCCACACTCTCCCTGCCTGGGGATCAAACCCGCAATCTGGGTATGTGCTCTGACTGGGAATCGAACCTGCCATGTTTTGGTGTACAGGACAATGCTCCAACTGAGCGACTCTGTCCAGGGCTAGAAGGCATTCTTAACCGATCACAGGGGAGTTCCGGGGCCCCTGCTCCTCATCTTTACCCCACTGGTGCCCGGTGATACCTCTGGACTCTCTGCCCCCCCCCCGGCCCCCCCCCCCCCCCCCGCCCTGGCACTCATGGCAGAATGCTGCACTGGGAAGGCTGTGGGCAGAGGCTGGTGTGAGGGGAGGGGCCGGGGCCGAGCTGGTGGGCCAGAGGCACTACAGCAGCGGGGAGGATGGCCGGTGGGCAGAGGATGGCACCCGTGATGGAGAGGAAACAGGAGGGCCTCTTTCCACAGAGACCCCCGGACGGGGGTGGGTGAGCTGGGCCCAGGCACTCATGACCGCTTTCCTTGTCTTCCATTTCAGGTCCAGCCACTGGGGTCTCCCCACCGCCCTTGAGTGGCCATGTCCAACCCCAGCGCACCCCCTCCGTATGAGGACCGCAACCCCCTGTACCCTCCACCCCATGGGGGCTATGGGCAGCCTTCTGTCCTGCCGGGCGGGTACCCTGCCTACCCTGCCTACCCACAGCCCGGCTATGGCCACCCTTCTGGCTACCCACAGCCCATGCCCCCCGTGCACCCGATGCCCATGCACTACGGTGAGTCCTGAGGGGGGCTGGCAGCACTGAGCCACCTCATTCCTTCCTTTGCAACTCTCTGTTAACCGGGTTTTCATCTCCATTTCTCATCTTGGTTTCCTCCCTACTCAGTCCTAGCTCCCCTGGGCCTCCTGTTAGCCCGTTATTCAGCAGGGAGTCTGAGTGATAAGACACCCCGGAAGTTACACACCAGAGAAGGTGCTGGGTGAAGTAACTCATTACTGGGCGGCCGTTCCTAACTAGGGGCCCCCCTCCCCCCAGTTCCCTTCTCCCTTTGGAACGGAGGTACCTTTTTTTTTTTTTTTTTTTTTTCAAATCCTTATCCTTTAAGGTAACATACAGTTTTTGCAAACATCCAGAGGCCATTTGGATGTTTGGTAAGCACCCTGGCACGCAAATGCCGTCAGGTCTATGAGATAAGATGAGAGGGAAGTGACTTTCCGAGCAGCCCACACGCCCACACGCAGACTTTGGAAGCAGCCCCAGCATTCCAGGAATGCCCTGTGGCCTGGGGCCAGCCCAGGCTTCTCTGGCCACGTCTGCTCGCTGCACATATCAGTGGTCAGTCACAGTTCCAGTCCCGTCTTGTCCTGGGAACGTATATCCCTGACATGTGCGTTCTCTCTGAGTCCTACTTGTTGACCTGAGTTAGATCATGGTCTACACACACTCTTCTCTACCCTGCACACACATGTGCTGTGGTTTTTGTTTTTAATCCTCATCTGAGGATATTTTTTCCATTGATTTTTACAGGGAGTGAGGGAGGGGGAGAGACAAAGAGAAACATGGATAGGAGAGAGACATATGGACATGGTTACCTCCCACACACGCCCTGACTGCGGTGGGGATCAAGCCTGCAGCCCAACCGAGGTACCTGCCCTTGACTGGAATCAGACCTGGGACCCTTAAGTCCAAGGGCTGATGTTCTAACCAGTGGGCCAAACTGGCTTGGGCTGTGCAGTGTTTTACCTTCCTTTTCCTCCTCCTATCACGTCCCCTGCCCTGACCCCGCCCTCCCAGCTTCTCTGGCTGACACTCTAGTTCATGTGCCTGCATCCGTGTGTTCATACACCAGAGCAGGCAGGTGAGGGCTGGGCACCCTGGCCCAGGAGCCCTCCATGCTCGCTGATGGGTCACCGTGGGCATCTGGAGGACCTGGTGTGGGCGGGGAGTTTGTTCTAACACACACTTAGTTTGTGACTGGAGATACCCGGGACTCTGAGATAATGTCACAGGGGCTTTGGGATGGAGGCCACATGTTCCCGGTTGGTCACATGTGATCTTCCCCCAGGCCCAGGCTATGACGCCGAGGAGAGAGCGGTGAGTGACAGCTTCGGGGCTGGAGAGTGGGATGACTTGAAAGTCCGACACACCTTCATCCGAAAGGTGAGCTGTGGGCGGGGAGGCCATGTACCGGCCCTGCGGGCTGCGGGAGTGGGGTGGTTGGCGGGAGGCACCGTTAGCCTGGGGACTCATTCCCATGGAAATGGTCGCTGCCTTCCAGGTTCTCTCTAGCCCTGCACGCTTTCATCCCTGTTCCCTAACCTTTTGCTCCTCTTTCCGTGACCTTGTTTTGGGGTCCGACAGATTCAGTCTGGGGAAATCTCAGCAGACTCTGCAAAGTGTTCTGTCCTCCTTAGATTTCTTCCTCCTGTTTGGCTGTAAGCAACTGGAAGCCAGAAATGATGGCAGCCCACCCTCCCTTCCCCACCTCCTGTGTGCACAGCATCCTGCTCAGAGTAGACAGACACTGACAGTGTCAGCCTGAGCGGCGGCAGCTGCAGGGCCGCACTGGCTGTGCACTGCGGCAGGGGAAGCAGCAGTAAACCGAGGCTGGATGTCAGAGAGGGATGGGGGGTCAGGGAGCAGCTCTGAGATGTGCATAGTCCTGGGGCCAGCCTCTCCACCGGCTGCAGCTGGGGAGGGCTCTGGAGTGGAAACAGAGTGAATCCTTCAAATTAAAAAGGAGGCTCTCCTCACGGTTAGTAGACAGGAAGGAGGAGAGTCATTGGGCTCCTGGTCTGGGGGTGGCTGCTCCTGGGGAGAGGCAGGGGTGGGGTGTTGACCAGTCTGTGTTGCAGGTTTACAGCATCATCTCCGTCCAGCTGCTCATCACAGTGGCCATCATCGCCATCTTCACCTTCGTGTGAGTCTGTGCCTCTGCCCAGGTGGAGCTCTGGGTCCTGGGCCTGCTCGGCGCCTGCCGGAGCTGGGTGGGCCTTGGCTCGGAGGGACGGAGGGCTGGTGTGGGCAGTGAGGAAACAGCCGTGACTCCTGCCTTCTCTTGCTCCACAGGAAGCCGGTTGGCGAGTTTGTGAGGAGAAACGTGGCTGTCTACTACGTGTCCTAGTGAGTCCGTGCTCCTCTGCTGGGGGAAGGGGCGGGGGGTGACAGCCCTCTGGACCGCTCAGAGCAGGGATCCAAATGCTGTTTGTGCGGGGCCCTCCACGTCGCCATCTCTGTTGGGAATGTGGGTGCATGCCACCCAGGGAGGGCAGCACAGACTCCTAAGAGCAGGGGTGGGGAACTGGTGGCAACACACACAAAGTAAAATGGTCCCCACAGTCCGTTAGCCTGTCCACTCCGACCTCCTCCACCCTCTTCCTGGCCAGACCCCCTGTAACAGTGCCCGTGGCTGGGTGATCTTGTCCCACCGGATAGCTCCCCCAGACTTGCAAACAGCTCTGTGGGCTCCAGCCTGCTGGCCCGGTGAGCGCTGTCAGGGGGGCCAGGAGGGACCTAGTGCTGACCAGGCTGTGGACTACTTCCTTCTCTTTCTCTGCAGTGCTGTCTTCCTGGCCACCTACCTGACCCTTGCCTGCTGCCAGGGACCCAGGTGAGTCCCAGAGACTTAGACAAAGAGAAGGGATGGCAGGGGCAGGAGTGGGGCCAAATGTTTTGGGCAGAAAGGGGACTCCCTATACGAGCAGTAATGGGGATGGTAGCAGCTACAGGCGGGTGTGTACAGTGCCTGCCTGGTGCCCCAGCCCTCCCTCCCCTCCCCCTCCCCCTCCCCAGGCACATTACCCTTGCCTTTCTCTCCTAAGCTCCAAGGGCCCTTCAGCATCTACCACTAGTTTCCTGAGCCTCTGCAGCCCGGCTGGCTCACTTCCACTACCTCTGTAACTTTCTAATAAACTCTCCATTACAGTTTGAAAACAACCAAGTGCCTTGCCTGTGTGGGATCTATTTAGCTACGTAGCCATTATTCTTACAGCAGCCCTGCAAGACATGTACATTTTACCATTTAACAAATAGGAAGAACCCAAGGCCCGGAGAGGCTGAGTAACTGCCAGTCACACAGATAGTGTAAAAGCGCAAAGGAATCCAGGTCTTTGTGGCCCCACAGCCCCACCTGTCCTATTGCCTGTGCTGTCCCTCCTAGGACACCTGAGCCAGCCTCTCCCCCCCCCCCCCCCCCCCCCCCCCCCAGCCAAGGCCTAATCTCCAAGCACCTGGGCCAACCTTCCTTCGGCTAGAGGACTGGTGCCTGGTTGGCCCGAGTCACTGAATTAGGTTTCTTTCCCTCCAGACGCCGGTTTCCATGGAACATCATCCTGCTGACCCTCTTTGTAAGTCCAGAGGCGTGGAGGGATGTGAGGGAGGGTGAGGGAGGGGATGCCATGGTGGAGGTGTCTGGTTCTCTCCGCCTCCATATCCTTACGCCCGTCTCCTCAGCCACATCTACTCCCAGCCCTGACACTGCCATGGCCATGCCTCTCTTAAGTTTTCTCTTGTCTCTCTCCTTCCTCAGACTCTGGCCCTGGGCTTCATGACAGGCACCATTTCCAGGTACAGTGGGGGACAAGCCCCCATGCTCCGGGAAGTGTGTTACGGGGAGCGGCAGCCCTGGGCTGGCACCTGTGCATGGGGGAAGTGGTTTTGAAGTCAGTCACGTATGGCTTACGCCTCTGGCCTCCCTCTCCTTCCCCTCAGTATGTATCAGACCAAAGCCGTCATCATCGCAATGATCATCACTGCTGTGGTGTCCATCTCAGTCACCATCTTCTGCTTCCAGACCAAGGTGAGGTTGGGGGCCCCCTCCACCCCCTTCCTTAGACGGAGCTGGCCCTTGAGGCTTGGCGCTTGAGCAGGCCCGGGAGGGCCCAGACCCCTAGACTGGGTGTTCCCTCAGAGACCCTGACCCCTTCCCTTCAGAGCTACTACACCTCAGAACTGCTCCCTGTGTCAGTCCTCAGAATGCCACTCCCCCGCCCCCAGGGGGCAGCACTGGGACTGCTGGGAGCGGGGAGCAGGGCCAGTCCAACTGGCCTGCTGGTTGTGACTCTCATCTGACAAACTTCACTCCTCCTTCCTGGCAGGTGGACTTCACCTCGTGCACGGGCCTCTTCTGTGTCCTGGGGATCGTGATGATGGTGACAGGGATTGTCACTGCCATCGTGCTGGCCTTCAAATACGTGAGTGTCTCAGGAGCTGGGAGCAGCGAGCCCAGTGGTCAGGGGACTTTCTGTAGAACGAGCGCAGCAGGCCCACAGGGCCCTGGGCAGGCTCTGGCTCCAGGACTTTCGACTGGCCAGCAGAGGCTCCGGTGCTGAGGCCCACCCTTTGGGTTAGGGCAATGGTCGGCAAACCACAGCTCGTGAGCCACATGCGGCTCTCTGGCCCCTTGAGTGTGGCTCGGTGTTAGAACCACTTCTTCAAAACAGACTCGCCCAGCCGAAACCAACTTCTATGCATGGGCCATGAAGTTTCCATCGCACTGTACGTGCGCGCCCACACGTGGTATTTTGTGGAAGAGCCACATCAAGGGGCCAAAAAGCTGCGTGTGGTTCGTGAGCTGCAGTTTGCCGACTACAGGGTTAGGGTACAGTTATTTCTCTTCAGCATCAGGCGGCCTGGGCCCATGGCACCTGAAGCCTTGGACAGCATCAGAATCCCCACGGGAGGCAGTGGGTGAGGTGTGGCAGCTGAGACAGGTCCTAGGAGGTGGTGGGAGGAGCCCATGGCACAGCGGGGAGCACGGAGTGGGAGGGGAAGCATGAGAACAGGAGGGCTGCCTGCCCTCAGTGGACAGGCACTTGGAAGGCTGCTGAGCAGGCTGCCTGGGTGCTCTCTGACTCTGATGTTCACCAAAGTGGCTGGGTCTTCCCTCCCACCCCTCTTCTTTAGTCTGTCCCCCTGGGATTGGCTCAAGCAGCGTCGCCCTGAAGGTGGACTGTGACGGGCAGGATGATGGGCTCTTTGACCAGCGCTTGCCTGAGCCTGCCCCTCCCAGAGCTGCCAACCACCACTCTCTCCCCGAAATATATGGACCCTCTGTCCCTTACTCACTTCGGAGACTGGTTTTCATATGGCCGCTGGAGGATGGGCTGTTTTCTCGGCCAGATCTGCTCCCATTCTTAATTTCCCCCAGGATCGGGAAGGCAGAGGCAGTCCCTCCGTGTAGGCAGCTGCCTGGATCCATCCCCTTGGATGTCCTGACAGCTCACTTTGGTCGTGCTGTGCTAAGATGTCTAACACCACCCCTGTTCCCTCTCAGATTTACTGGCTCCATATGGTCTATGCTGGTCTGGGCGCCATTTGCTTTACCTTGGTGAGTAAGGCCTGCCTCTCTGGGAAGGGAGCTGAGGGAGGGGAGGGAGGAGCTGAGTGGATGGAGAATCACTTTAGGCTACTTGGGAGGCAGGGAATGTGGCCACAACTGCCCTTCCCCATCTCCCGTCAAGAGGTTTGCTGGTTTTCTGGGACCTCTGCCCTCTTGTGCCCACACTGCCTGCAGTAGAACACTCAGCAGGCGGACTGAGGAGAGTGTCTCTCCTTCTCTAGGCTGGGAACTGCTTAAGAGTAGAGACCATGTGTTGTGCTGTTCGTTAACGTGTCCCCTAAGTCCCACTCAGGGTACAGATCTGCTGACCGGAGACGAGTTCTGGCATTGCACCCTGGGGACTCACTCGTGCTTGTTCCCGCAGTTCCTGGCTTATGACACCCAGTTGGTCCTGGGGAACCGGAAGCACACCATCAGCCCAGAGGACTACATCACTGGCGCCCTGCAGATCTACACCGACATCATCTACATCTTCACCTTTGTGCTGCAGCTGGTGGGGAGTCGCGACTAAAGAGCGCCCCCAGTTCGGCTCCACTGTGGGCTCTCCCCCTCAGAGGGCGGGGCCCCGTGACCAGGGCCCTGTGACAGGGTCTGGGCCACAGAAGCCTTTCCTTCCCCTGAAGTAATTTGCCCAGCTTCCTTTCTGTGCTGGGTGATGGCCTCGGTGGCTGTGGATGTGTGGGTGCCACCTGGGGGGGCCGGAGGAACTGGGCACTAACTCTTGCCCTTGATGGACTTGGCAGGGACCAGGCTGAAGATGTGCCTTCTCCCTCCACCCACTGTGTGGCACCAAATTCTTCCTAACTGCTGGGGTGGGAGCAGGGGGATGAAAGAGCCTCTTCTAAAACTAAAAGGGAACGTGGATGTAGACGTGACTCTTCAAGGTGATGAGGTTCCCCACCGCCTCTGCCACAGGCCGCTGGGCTAGGCACTTCCTCCCTCAACCCTAACAGCCAAAGAGGCTGTCCCCGCCTGCCGGACTCAGGCCGTCCTCCTGTGCTCCTGCGGCACACACGTGGCTCCCTGGCTCAGGGAGGTGTGAGCCATGTGCTGTGGTCCCCCTGCTTCGGCTCCTCTCTTGATGCATGTACATATTGTTTATCTGGGGTGGGATGGGGCGGGGGGGAGAGGACAGGGAGCACACTCAAGCACAGGGGCCAGTACAGAGCAGCGCCTCCCCTGGCTTCTTCATGGCTGTGGTGTGGCAGAGAGCAGGCCCATTGGCAGCCCTCCGGTCCCCATTCTCCGAAGCTGCCTGGGAGGCCTCCCTGTGCTTCTGAGCTGTCAGAGGGACCTCTGGCTTTCCACACTCGGGCTGCTCCAGGCAGAAAGTGAGGGGCAAAGGTCGGGGTGGCGTGGTCTGCAAGCTCATGTGTGGCCAGGAAGCAACCAGGAGGATGAGGAGTCTGGGTTGGGATGCCCCAGTCTGATATTGTCCTTTCCTTCTGCTAACCTAGGGAGGGCCCGAGAGCAGGGAGACTTCCCCTCTGTTCTTAACTCCTACTGAGGGACTTTAGACTCAGACCAATCTCTAGCCAGCTCCTGCTTTCTTCCTGACACCAAGTGCCTCAAGCTGGAATGGGGGAGGGAACAAGGGTCACTCTAAGGTCACTCTTATCAGGTGGGGTGGGAACCAAATCAGCTCAAGGGTATAAGTAGGACTTCTCCAAGTCCTTGGTCCTAAATATATCACATAAAAAGACATAACTAGAAATATAATAAAGTTTTACACTTAGCAGTTAAAACCTTATTTGGCTCTGGTTTTGTTCACTTTTGGTCTGGTCCTGCCCAAAGCATCCACTTCCTAGCTTTGCATTCCGGCTTGCTATCTTCCACCTCTTCTAAGATAACCAAACACACTCTGCCCAGCACTTCCTGGTGATGGATGCAAAAGGCTGCTGGAAGTTCGACTTGCGTTACTGGGTCCAGCAGGGACCGCTCAGAGAACGTGACCTATCTTGCATCATGGACCCTTTACAAAGCTCAGAGCTACAAACTCTTCCCCACAAAGCTGTATGCGTACAATGTCACAGTTGGGCTGGGGTGGAGGGTGGACTGCAGATTCAGGTTTAGGGCCCTGCCTTAGAAATCACTAGTCACAAACCTTTGAAAGTAACCCACGTCCAGGGAGGTTGAATCATTTGGACTCGGCCACAAGGAGTACTGCTTTATTTCTTTCACACCCTCAATGCCCTCTTTGGTTGTTTTTTATTTATTTACTTGTTCAAAGCTGAGAAAGACCCCACCCTCCTGGCCAGCAGCTCTGAGCACTGGCTCTCCAAGGCCTGCGCCTAGGCTTGTTGCTTAAGCCTCTGTGGTTTCCCCAGCCATTGATCCGGAACACTGAATGCTTCAGAGAGACAGCTCACATGAGTAACCCACCCCGCCCTCTCCCTCCCATCCCAAGGGACTCAAAAATCCAGTCCCGGTTCCTTTCCACTCACACACTCAATAACTTTATTGGCCTTTGGTTTCTCTGGGAGGGGAGGGAGAGCAGGGTGGGACAGGAGGGTGTGTGGGGGGGAGTTAAGGACTGACAGCAGTCTGAGCTTCCTGCGCCCTCTGGTGGACCTTAGAGGCAAGGACTAGAATTGCAGCCAAACCCAAAGGATTTCCGTGGTCTGGAGGCCAGTCAATACAGTCTAGGGGAGGGCTGCAGTGTTCCTCAGGTCTGCACCCCAGACCCAGCTTCAGGAGACTGGGCATGCTGGGAGGAGGCCCTGAATCTCTGGCTCTCATACTCGCCCGTGTTGGCTGCCCGCATGTTCTGCCGAGCCTTCATCTGCTTCAAACGATTCTTGTCCACTTCCCGCTTGGTGAGGATGAACAGGAGGATACCACAGGGGAAGCCGATGGCCCTAGGGGTGGGGAGACGCGCACGGGGTTTGGGGAGGGACCACGCCTGAGCCAGAGGAGCTGGGGGGAGGGGAGGTAATCTCATTCCAGCTTCATCGAGCTCATGAATACTGCAATACCTCTTGTATCTATTCAGCCTCCTCGTTGGCTGCTGGAGGGCACTACACAAATCAGATCCTGCTGCTACTCTGCTTAAAACCACTTAACAGCTCTCCATCACTTCCCTGCCAAGTCCAAACACCCAGGCATGGCACAAAAGGCCCACCTCTACATTCCTTTCTGCTGTAGCCTGCCACCTCTCAACATGAGCCCGCGAGCCTACAGTCTGCATGATTCTCTGATGGCCCATCCCCTTTCCCCTTCGACCCTCGGCAAATTTCCTCTCTGCCTAAACTGCCCAACACCCTCTCCCAGAGTACCCTCCTAATCTGAGGAACTGCTACTGGGGAGCACCTTGGTGTGGGGAGAAAGGGCATGGAGTCCAAAGACCTGGTAAGAATCCCAGCTCTGAGCCTCAGCCTCTCATCTGTGAAATGGAGATGGAATATTTATCAAAGACACTGTAAAGTCCTGGAACACCTAACCTAAGGTGCTGAAAAAAAAAAAAATAATAATTTCCCACCTGACAGGTGTGGCTCAGTCTGTTGAGTATCATCCCATGTCCGGAAAGGTTGATGGTTCGATTCCCCAGTCAAGGCACATGTCCAGGTTGCAAGCTCACTTCCCCACACATTGATATTTCTCTCTCCCTCAAAAAATCCTTTTCTTTCCCCTTATACTTATTGGCTTTAACTTATTTCTTTGGATAATCCTCACCCAAGGATATTTTTCCACTGAATTTTAGGGAGAGTGGGAGGGACATATGAATTGGTTGCCTCCCGCACTGGGGCTGGGGTGCTGGGGATCGAGCCTGCAACCGAGGTGTGTGCACTTAACCCGGGGTCGACACTATGCATGGCGCCAAACCAGCTAGGGCTCCAAAAGTCTTAAAATTTATTTTAAAATTCTGCTAAGATAAGACCCTTTTGAAAAAAATTGGTAATTTACTCCTTTCCTTTAGTATTGATCAGCAATATGTACTAAGGTCAGAGTCAAATCTGAATAATGATGTGTTAAAACACCTTTGAGATAAAACCCAATTAGGTCTCACCCCAAGTTCTCCAAAAGAGATGAGACCAGGGAACCAAATTCACATCAGATCAGTTCAGCTTTCTCCACAGAAAACCCACTCTCTCTCCAATTTCACATACTTTCCCCCCCATCCCCTGCCCCACCTCCCTGCGACTCCAGTCCTTGCAGCCAGCAATTCCGTCCCCACAGACCTGGAGTGAGCGTACCACCTGGCACCTGGAGAAGTGTCTGGGCTCTGCCCTCCCCTGGTGCCTACGGGTGGGCACAGGGTTCGAGAACACTCACCAGGCGACTCCCACAGCTTTCATGGGGTTCTTGGCCTTCTTCCTGGGAATGTACTCCAGCTCCGGAGGCAGGGGCTCCGGCTCTTCCTTGCACTCGGGGGAGCTGTGGCTTTGCAGCGCCCGGGTCCTGCTCTGGGCAGCTTTGTTGGCTGTGGCTCCAGCGAGAATCCCTGTGCAGGGAGAACAGGAAGGTCAGCGGGAGGAGGAGGGGAGAGCCCGGGAAGGAAGGAGCGGCTGCGCTCTGAGGCGGAGCAGGGACCGCAGTACGGTGTAACAAGTGCCAGGGGGAATCCGAAGGGCACTGGGAACATCGCCATCGAGGGGACACCTTCGGGAAGCCACCGCTACGTCACTGCGGGCTCGCCACCCCGTGCCGGGCGCCCGGGCTCCGCTGCTCATCTCCCGAGAAGGCGGGATGGGGAGGACTGCAGTGGGGCTCACGTGAGACGCAGGAAGGGAATCCGCGAAAATGTTTTCAAACCGCAGCAATGGCCAGTGCGGAAAGGGGGCTTAGAGGCGGTCTCCTCCGTCCCCCCGTCTCCTAGGAGAGGATCCCGAAGCCCAGAGAGACGAGCTCCCCCGCCCAAGGTCAAACCGCTCACTGCCCGCGGCTAGAACCCGAGCCTCCGGCAGCGCGGGGCTGGCCTCTGCACTGCGGAGGGTGTCCGGCACCGGAGCGCGGAGCCCGGGCTTCCCCGGGGCTCCCTCCCGCAGCGAGGGCGCGGAGGTGTGTGCGCCCCGACGGCAGAGGGGCGGCCGGGGACCTCCGAGACCCCCTCACAGCCCCCCAACTCTGCACCCCGCAGAGGGGTGCGAGCAGGAACCCACAGCCCTGACCGCCTGCTCTACCCGGGCTGGATGTAAAGGAAATAAAAAGGGGAGGGGGACCCCTGGCGCCCCTGCCCTCCCCGGGGTCCCTCTCCTTACCCCGGAGGACGCGGGCATTCCTCGCCCCCCGGCCCTTCAGCGCCGTAGCAGCCACCACCGCCGCCATGTTCAGATCCCACCCCCCCCTGCACCGCGGTCTCCGCCGGGAATTGTAGTTTGCGTCAGGGGCCTCCCCCACTCCTCCCGTCCCGCCTACAGGCCGGAAACTACAACTCCCAAAAGCCTCCGGGGCGGGCCGGGCCGGGCCGAACTCCTCCTCCCAGGAGACCCGGCGGCGCGCACGCTCGCTTGTTTCCCTTCTGCCAGGGGCGGAGTCAGGCCGGGCGGAGTTTGGGTTCCCTCGGCCACGCCCCGCCCCTCTCCCCAGCTCTGCTCTGTGGTTGGTGGTTCGGCCATCAGCCCTGTTTCCGATTGGCCGGGCGGCCGTCCCTCTCCCTTTCCGGAGAGTGGCTGACGCCTGTTTCCTCCCGGGGAGGAGGGGCCCGAGTTCCGCGTCGTCGCGCAGCGCTGACTCGGGGAGGCGTTTGGGCCCTGAGAAGTGGATCGGCTGCGCTCGCCGCATGGAATCCGAATCGGAGAGCGGGGCTGCCGCTGACACCCCCCCACTGGAGACCCTGAGCTTCCATGGCGACGAGGAGATCATCGAGGTGGTGGAGCTGGACCCCGGCCCGCCGGACCCGGGTGAGAATGGCCGGTCCGCAGGCCGTGGGGCAGGAGCGCTCACCCCTGGCCTGTGACCCCGGCTTCTGCCCCCGCCCCTCTGCACCCTACCGGTCATTCCTACCGACTTTCCCCGCCCTTCCCCCTCCTCCCGCCCCCACCCCGAGGGCCCGGGCCTGGCCGGGTGGGGGTTCCCTGACGCCTCCTCGGCCCTTCCCGCACACACCCCCTTCCCAGCATCCCCTCGGCCCTCCCTGCCAGTCTCCGGCCGACGCCAGGTGCGCAGCGTCTCCCGTCCTCGCCCCGCACACCTTCTCGCTCCCGCTGCTCGACTGACCTCACTCTGGCCACATGACCCACCCCAGCCCTCGTCTCCATCCCCCTTCCTGCCTGCTAAGCCCCATCTTTGGACCCTCTGACCAATGCAGATGATCTAGCCCAGGAGATGGAAGATGTGGACTTTGAGGAGGAGGAGGAAGAGGAAGAGGGCAACGAGGAGGGCTGGGTTCTGGAGCCCCAGGAAGGGGTGGTGGGCAGCATGGAGGGCCCGGACGACAGCGAGGTCACCTTTGCACTGCACTCAGGTAGGTCTCTCAGGAGATCCATCCTACACTCGGGCCCGGAGGCCCTTTGAGCATCCCATGTCGGCTGTGTACTGGGCATTCTGCTGGCCCTGGCCCGGAGGAGCTCACAGGAAGCGGGCAGGGTGATGGGATGGAGGAGAGCTTGGCTCCTGAGCCAGCTGAGAAACCCGTGTTCCACTCTTACCTCTGCCCCTCACCAGTGTACGATCTGTAGGAGTCTCCCTGGGTCTTAGTTTTCCTTTAAAATAGGGGTGTCGAACTCAATCAGAGAAGGGGCCAAAATCTAAAATCCAGCCTAAATCGCGGGCCGAATGGTTTACTGAACAGTCATAAACTGTCATTGTGATGGAAACGCAGCGGAGTGCAGTGATGACCGCGGTGTGGGCCACATTGCAAGGCCTGGCGGGACGGATTTGGCCCGGGGGCCTTGTGTTTGACACATGTGCTTTAAAACATTACTTTGGTGTAAGTCACATGGAGCGTGTTTTATATAATCCTCAAATGCCAGCTCTTAGTAAGGAACCAGGAGCACAATGTTCTCCTCCCTCTGTGTGTACCCAGCCTGACGGCATCCCATGCTGAGAGCTGTAAGCCCAGCACACACTTTCCTGTGCTCCGTGGCCTCAGTGTGGGGTGGTGAAGGGTGCGGCATCGTAAGGGGCATCTGCTCCGGAGAAGGATTTGGAGCTTGGCGAGCTCGGGGAGGGGTTTCTCCAACCGTCTGATGCTTGAAACTCAGGAGGAACTCGGATGCATCCTGCTTTCCCAGGAGGAAAGACGTGCTTCTCTGGGTGGAAGGGGTGGGCCTCCTGCCGGCCTGAAGGACAGAACCCAGGTGGGAGCCCCAGCCCCTCACTTGGGAACTCTCTCTCGGGACAGCATCTGTGTTTTGTGTGAGCCTGGACCCCAAGACCAACACGCTGGCGGTGACCGGGGGTGAAGATGACAAGGCCTTCGTGTGGAGGCTGAGCGACGGGGAGCTGCTCTTCGAGTGTGCGGGTGAGGGGGTGTCTTCCGGGGCGGGCTGCAGCAGTGGCGCATCTCACAGCCACTTACCCCCATTGTGCCAGCTCCGTGCTGGGCCTGAGGCCTCTGGAGAGGATAGCATAGTCTGTTGTGGATCTAGGGGAGGGAGGCACTGAGTGGGCAAGGGCATCTGGGAAAGGCTTGAAAGGAGGAGACCTGGGCTGATGAGGGGTATCTGGGGAGAGGGAAGGGGGTGGGTATTCCAGGCAGAGGTGCAGAACGGGCAGGAGGGAAGACCCAGGCCTGGGCTCCGTGTGGCTGAGTGGAGGGCCAGCATTGCCTTGAGACCTGGGTGTGCTGATTCCTGAAACGGCAGTGAATCTGGTCACCTGTTCTGCTGGGATCCACGTTTTCCTCTCTCAGCTAGTCCTTTCAGGAGGCCAGACACCTAGGTCATGGGCCCCCAAGCACAAGGTGCCCTGATGTTCTCTGCTTCTTTGGTTTTTTTTTGAAGGCCATAAGGACTCTGTGACTTGTGCGGGTTTCAGCCATGACTCTACCCTAGTGGCTACCGGGGACATGAGCGGCCTCTTGAAAGTGTGGCAGGTGGACACCAAGGAGGAGGTCTGGTCCTTTGAAGCAGGAGACCTGGAGGTGATTAGAGTGGATTCAACTCAGGGCCTTGGTTGGTAGTGGGTAAGAGCTTGGGGCTTCAGTTCCACCTTTACCAGACCAGGCCATCTCTGACCAGTGCACTCTCAAGGTACAGCAAGAACGTCTGTCCCTGTTACCCAGACTGTCCTCCCTGACTCAGAGCAGAGGCAGCGTGGTGGGGCTCAGAAGACAGGTTCCTAGGTGGGATGGGTGATGGGCCTCCCTGCTGACTCTTCCTCCCTGTCCAGTGGATGGAGTGGCACCCTCGGGCACCTATCCTACTGGCGGGCACTGCTGATGGCAACACATGGATGTGGAAGGTCCCCAATGGCGACTGCAAGACCTTCCAGGGTCCCAACTGCCCAGCCACCTGTGGCCGAGTCCTCCCTGATGGTGAGATAAGCTCCTCCAAGTTCCTTTCTTGAGTGGAGAGAGGTTGGACCCAAGGCTCAGCCCACACTCTGATCCTGTTCTCAGGAGCACTGACCTCAGGCCCCGGAGCAGACAGCTCCCTTTTCCACCCTGAACTAGGTGTCTTCTGCTGGGTCCTGGGTGGTGTTGGCTCTCTCCCTTTCCTGTCTCCCTCTCCTGGCTCCCGCCCATATCCCCAGTTCCCTCTCTGGGTGTGTCCCTCTCTGAGTGTGCTGTCTTTCTCTCTTCATCTGTGCTTCCGGCCCTGTAGGAAAGAGAGCTGTGGTCGGCTATGAAGATGGCACCATCAGGATTTGGGACCTGAAGCAGGGAAGCCCTATCCATGTACTAAAAGGTATCAGAGTTGGGGGAAGTGTTAGCCGCGGCCTTTGTTGGGGGAGGGGCTAAGACCTGGGACAGGACTCCGAGGGGACAGTGTGAAGACTGACTTATTCCTTTGCTGCATCCTAGGGACTGAGGGTCACCAGGGCCCTCTGACCTGTGTTGCCACCAACCAGGATGGCAGCCTGATTCTGACTGGCTCTGTGGATTGCCAGGCCAAGTTGGTCAGTGCCACTACTGGCAAGGTGAGTGAAACTGAAGCCTGGCTGTGAAGCCTTCGCTCTTCTCCCCTCCTTTCTTATCCTTCACTCAACCTCCCTCCTCTCCACCTTCCTTCTCTGAGAGGATCATGTTTCTAGGACCTTCTCTGACACTTTCCTCTGGCTCATAGGTGGTGGGTGTTTTCAGGCCTGAGTCTGTGGCCTCCCAGCCCAACCTGGGAGAAGGGGAGGAGAGCGAGTCCAACTCAGTGGAATCCTTGGGCTTCTGCAGTGTGTGAGTGTGAGCTGAGGCTTTGGCCTGGAGGCCGCCTGGAGAAGAGAGGGACTGAGCTTGGGGAGGGGCCTGGGCGGGGAGACCAGGAAGGAACAGGGCCCGTGGGCCCAGGCCCCTCTGTGAGCTGGTGGTGCCCCTCCCCCAGGATGCCTCTGGCAGCTGTCGGCTACCTGGATGGGACCTTGGCCATCTATGACCTGTCTGCGCAGACCCTCCGACACCAGTGTCAGCACCAGGTACGGGCACCTGTGGGAGGCCCAGGACGGTCAGCGTCCACCCCGACCTGGCTCCTGCATGGTCCTGTCTATGGCCCTGCTCCCACCTCCCTCCCCGAGATGCTCCTCGCTCCCCTCACGCCCACCCTGCCTCTCCACCGCGCAGTCCGGCATCGTGCAGCTGCTGTGGGAGGCGGGCACCGCCGTGGTCTACACCTGCAGTCTGGATGGCATCGTGCGCCTCTGGGACGCGCGGACCGGCCGCCTGCTGACTGACTACCGGGGCCACACGGCCGAGATCCTGGACTTCGCCCTCAGCAAGTGAGTGAGCTGGGCAGGGCCGGGGTTCTGTATTCGGAGGTGGGGAGAGCATGGGGGGCCACCGGGACCCGGTGTGTGGGAGGCCTTCCTGCGGGAAGCCGGGACCCAAGACCGGGAAGCCTGAGGGAGCTGCAGCTTCTGGGTGACAGTGACTTGCTGGGTCTCATGTCAGTCCCGGGGCTGAGGGGCTGGGACTGCCTCCCCATGTTGTGGTTCCTCTCATTTCCTCGCTCACTGCTGGCTTCACGTGTGTTCACTGGACACGGGTGTGTCAGCTGGTGCTGGGCACTGAGGGCATGGAACTGATGTGCTCGAGAGGCCCCGGGGGCTCCTGGGTCATGGGTTTGAGCCAGCCCCGAGGCCCCATCCCTATGAGCCTCTTCTTTCTGTCCGCAGAGATGCCTCCCTGGTGGTGACCACCTCAGGAGACCACAAAGCAAAAGTGTTTTGTGTCCAGAGACCTGACCGCTAGCTGCAGCCCCTGCAGTGTCTGGTGTGAGGAGGTGAAGGGAGGCCCCTCCCCGGCAGAGGCGGAGGGTGTGAGGGAAGAGGATGGGAGGGGCTTCGGACTACTTTCCACCCCTTCACACTGACGTGCCCCCTGTCCCTTTCTTCTCTTAAGAGACCCACCCTTCACCCCTCAGGCCCTGCCCCTCCCCCAAACCCGGGGGATCTCTGAGGGAGGTTCAGACCTCTTTCTCCTTCATTTCATTTGTGGGTGTGAGTCATGGGGTGCCTATTTGTATGTGGGGAGTAGGTGTTTGAGGTGCCTGTTCTTTCCCTTCCCAAGTCTCTGGGGGTGGAAAGGAGGAAGAGAGAGATTAGTTACAGATTTTAAAGATGTAAATAAAATATACTTCCCAGAGACCATGTCTGTGGATTCTGTGGGGGCTGGGCCTGAGGAAGAGCTGTTGAGGCCCCGCATGTGCTGGACTCTCGGTCCTCAGCCCGCCTTCCCGTCGATGGTGCAGCCCCACCTACAATTGCTGATCCGAGCTGGGATCTCCCTGGGTTCTGTTATTTAGGTTCTTTCCACAGCTGTTCTACCTGCCTCTCCCCTTCTGTGATACAGAATGAGATACCGATAAACTCGGCCAGAGGAGCTTTATTCCCCCAATGAAAGGGCAGGGTCTCGGACCCACGGGTGTGCAGGCAGGTGGGGACGGGCGTGGCTGAGATGGATGGATGCTTCTAGTTCAAGTCCAGGTCTGTGCTGCTGTGGCTGCCGGTGCCGTAGGCAGTGCCGGGCCCAGGCCTGCTCCGCGAGGCTCTTCCCCGCAGCCCCCGGCGCCACCTTCGGGCGGCTGCCCTCCAGGGAGCCGTGTAGCGGTGGTCACTCAGCCCCATGGCCACGGGCACGGCCGCTGCGCTGGCACTGCCCAGCGAGACCAGGGACAGCAGAGTTCCAGGCCCCAGCGGGGGGCGCTGCTCGTAGGCCAGCACCGAGAGGAGCAGGGTGGCCACGTAGGGTCCCCAGCACAGCACAAAGAGCAGCGTGGCTCCGGCCTGGGCCCGCGCTTGCCGCCAGGCCAGGGCCCGGGCCAGGGCCGAGGGCGCGCCGCGGCACACGGCCCGCTCCTGCCGGCGGATGCCCCGCAGCTGCCGGCGGGCCGTGGCCAGCACACGGGCGGAGAGCAGGGCCGCGGCGCCCACGGCGGGCAGCAGCAGCCCGTAGACTTCGAGGTAGAGGTAGGGGGCCGGGAAGACGGCCTGGGAGCTGCAGTTGGCGCCAGGGCCCCAGTGGTTCCACCCCAGAGCGGGCAGGCTGGCGAAGAGCAGGGGGCCGGCCCAGGTGAGGAGCAGGGCCAGCCGGGCGCTCCCGGGGGCCCGGAGCGGCCGCAGCACGGCCAGGTAGCGCTCCCCGTGCACCAGCAGCAGGTTGGCGAGCAGGGAGAGGAAGGAGAAGTTGGGAGCTAAGTGGAGGAAGAGGCAGGGCCAGTAGCCTCGGCGGCTCTGGCGCCACAGGCCTGGCAGCGTGGGCAGCGCCAGCCCTGTGAGCAGCCCAGCGAGCAGCAGGCTCAGGAAGAAGCAGCCGGCAGGCAGGCTGCGCAGGCGGCGGTCCCCGGCAATGCCCAGGGCCAGGAGCAGGTTGGCCACGACGATGAGGCTCGCCAGGACCAGGGAGAGCCCAAAGGCTCCCACGGGCACAGCGCCGGGCTCCTCCCTGGTGCTGTTGGGTGTCATCTTGGGTCTGGGGACAGGGAAAATCTGGAGCAGCGGCCGACATGCCTGGAAGGGAGATGGGGTGGCCAGAGTTAGCGTGGGGCTGCGGGTCACTGTCCTCTCAGGAATACATATTAATCTAGAGGTTGCAGTCCAATGGACTGTAGGGTGTATACACATTTCTTTTTTCCAATGAATAGCCAATTAAAATTCCTATTTCTGGCTTCTCAAGCAAATAGAGCGGTCAGCCTGGGGACTGAAGGGTTCCAGGTTTGATTCCTCCAGCCAAGGGCACATGCCTGGCTTGCGGGCTTGATCCCCAGTAGGGGGCGTGCAGGAGGCAGCTGATCAATGATTCTCATCATTGATGTTTCTCTCTCTCTAACCCCTCTCCCTTCCTTTCTAAAATCAATAAAATGTATATATGTTTTTTTAAAAAGCAAGAAATAAGTTGTGGCAACAGCCATGTTCTGTATGGTAGTGACCAGCTGGAGTGGGGACTGCCCTCAGGCCACTTCACCTGTTTCTGTTATCTGCCGGCCCCCTTGGGCAGCTGTGCTTATGCCTGTTTAGACTGAAGATGGACCCGCCCAGGCCCAAAGCCTCTTGCCCATCCCTGCCCGCATGGCAAGGCCCTAGCCAGAAGGGAAGACGGTGTGGCTGGTGTAGCGGTCAGCCAACGCTGACAGCCTCCTCCGGGCTAGGGCCCGGTGCTAGGCGAGGGTGCTCAGGTGAAGGAGATGCCCGAAGCCTGGTTGGCACCCGAGCATTAGGATGGGGGTGGGGCAGGAGCGAGGCAGAGAGGGGTCACTGAGCATCAGAGTGAGTGGCGAGGCCGAGGCAGATGGCGGCAGCAAGTGGGCTGTCCTGCCCTTGCACCGCCATCCCGGTGTGCCCTGAGGCCGGCTGGTCACAGATGAGTGAGCATCCTCTGGACAGGACTTCCAGCCCATAAACTTGGCTCATCTGCACCACTAGCAACAGGCCCCTTCGTGGGAGCTGGACGGGACAGCGGGGTTGCTGGGGGCATAGTGAGTGGGTGGTGGGGAGGGGGAGGATTGGCAGTGAATGTGGAGATGCCAGCAGCACGGAGGACACCCCCCACACTCTGAGGCTGAAGCCGACCCCCAGGAGAGGGGAGAGGAGCTGCTGGGCAGGGCTGGCTCTGCAGCTGGCTGTCCCTGTCCTTTCCTTCTCGGCTCCTCGTTCTCAGCCTGCCTGCACCCGGCCCCACGGCCACATCGGGGCATGGGGAGGGGTCCGGGGCCCTGTGGGACCCTGCTTCTGCCCACGGGAGCAGCTGCCGATGCTACGATTACAGTCAATAAGGAAAGGGTTCCTACCGCCCCCGCCCCACAGCCACTCTGACTCAGGGGAAGCTGAGGGCCCCACTGGGCCTCCAGGCTGCTGCACCCCTCCCCCTCCCCCTTTTTCTCTTCCTCAATCTTCTCTCTGCCCCCAACTCCGGACATCTTTCCTTCTCAGCAGCCCTCCAGTTTCTGTTCCCGTGTCCCTGCATGTCAACTTTATTAAACCCCACAGGCCTCAGGGGACCTTCCTTCCAATCCGGCCTCTGGATCCCGGGCTGGAGCTCCTGAAGCTCCAGCCCTTCAGAGCGAGCCCCCCACCCACCTCCCCCAGAGCGGGAGGAGAGAAGGGCCGGCCCAGGAGTGGTCTCCCAGTGGTGTGTGCCCCTGCTGGCTCTGCTGGCAACGGCTCTTCAGGACTGGGGCTGAGGTCCGGGGCGGGGAGGGGCGCAGCGACTCACATGGCAGTGGAGACAGGTGCTGGTCAGCCGGCCGGCCTGTGTCAGGGAACTGCTGCGGCTGGCCCCGCGGGGCCCCTGGGGCTGTCTGCTGTCCCGGCCGGGGAGGGCATGGTGCCTCCACTCTGGGACAGCGGGGCCCCAGGCTCCTGCCGCCCAGGCTCCGCTCCCGCCTGGGTTCTGGAGGGATGGAGCTGCGGCCACGGGCTTAGCCTGGCCCCACCCCTGAGGGTGGGACCTGGCACACCCTGGCCTTAGCCTGCGGGAGGCCTTCCTCCTCGCATGCTGGACCCATCTTCCCCTTCCCAGCTACTGGCCATAGCGGGTCCCTTAGGGGGCGGATCCTCTCCCAGGTCCCTCAGCTTGGAGACCCCTCCCCTGATACTGCCCCGCTGATCTTAGAAATGCATTGCCGTTAGTGAATAACGTCCTTCTATCCCTCCCCTGCTTCTATCCCTCCCCCATTTCTGCCCCAGCTAACACATTTACATTTTATGAGCTTTCTACCCGAGTGGCCAGCCAGCTGCATATTGAGCTCCATAATCCTACCTGTCTGCCAGGGGGGAGCGTGTGTGTGTGTGTGTGTGTGTGTAATGGGATGGGAGTTGAGGATTCACTGCCCCCCATCTTTTTTTTTTTAAATGGCTGTGTTTTACAGTTGCTTCATGAAGATCATTCTTTTTCTTTCTTTAAAAAAAAAAAATATTTTATTGATTTTTTTACAGAGAGGAAGAGAGAGGGATAGAGAGTTAGAAACATCAATGAGAGAGAATCATTGACCAGCTGCCTCTTGCACACCCCCTACTGGGGATGTGCCCGCAACTAAGGTACCTTTCAGTCTGCAGGCCGATGCTCTATCCACTGAGCCAAACCAGTTTCGGCCCTGCCCCCCACCTTACCGCCTGATGGACATTCCAGATTATAAAGCCAGCCTTGCCTTCTAGAATCTGGAGCCCTTTTGTGTTTTCCTCAGCTACTTTGTGAGTCCAGTTGTGGGTCTCAAGCTACAAATAGCTCTGGGGATGTGTGATATTGGGCAAGCTAGCTCTGGGCTCCAATCTCCCCACCTGTGACATGGGGAGGAAAGCCAGCTCTTAGGGTTGCTGTGGAAAATGCTATGGGATAACGTATGTAACTAATTAGATCCCAGTGCCTGACCCTTAACGAGGGAAGCCACACGCGGCTGTTGTGGAAAATGTTATGGCCCACACAAGAAGCAACCAGTGAATGCATATGTAACTAGGACAACAAATCCATGTTTCTCTCCTCCTTCCTCGATGAATAAGAGGCACCAGCCAGTGTTGGAATCAGAAAGCCTGGCTTTGGATCTCGGAATCCTGGCTGAGATGCTATTTTTTCCAGCTGTATAAATTTGGGCATGTAACTAACGGTCCCTTGCCTTAGTTTCCTCATCTGCAAAATGGGGCTCATGTTGTACTCACCCACTGAGAGTAAGTGAAATATGTGATAAACACTTAGATCAGTGCTTGGCACATACTGGGATTTCTGCCCCTTCCCTCCAGCCAATCCTCCCCTCTAAGGAAGAGCGCCCCTGAGAGAGGCAGATTGCCTATGAAAAGCAAGAGGCCAGGGGTGCTTTTGCTCCACAGGGAAACTAAGGAACTAGGTGCAGTCACGTGTCAGTTAATGACAGGGATACGTTCTGAGAAACAGGTTAGCCGATGCCGTCGTCCTGGAAATATCATAGGATTTGCTTACGGTACACAAACCTGTATGGTATAGCCTACTCCTTACCAAGGGTCAGGACAGCCTACAGCTCTGTAGGGGAGGAAAAATAACTTTCCCTCTACCCTTCTGGACTCTTGGCTGTGACATCCCTGTCACAAGAGACAGATTAACAAGAGAAAACTATTTCATAACATGCAGACTTGGGAGCTAGGAGCTACCCAGGGAATCTGAGTAACTCAGAATGCCTGAAGCCATCACCTTGAATACCATCTTTAGCTGAAGACCAAGGATGTTGGGGGTGGGAGGAAAGGGCAGGAAACAAGGGGTAAGGTTGTTAGGCAAATTTCAGTCTAGGTCTTCTACAGTGATAAGACTTCCTAGAGATAAGACACTTCCCCCTCTTCCTGGCTCAGTGAGGGAGACACCCTTACAATGGACAGGTCCCTAAAGCACAGATACCTTTTACAAAGAGTAACTTCTACTTGGTTTTCAGAGCTGCTTCCAAGTCAGAGAGTTTCTTAAAATTAACCAGCCTAAAATAATCCTTATGCTAAAGAGACATGTTTGCAAGTGACAAATTCTGTTCCCTTACAGCTCTCAGGCTACAAACCAGAACAGCATGTCACTGCTCTGGATACTGTAGGCACTTGTGTAATGCATTTTGCTACATGACTAGATGATAGGAATTTTACATCTGCATAATCTTTTAAAAAATATTTTTTTAGTCCTGGTTTTGGTCTGTGGATAGAGCGTCAGCCTGCGGACTGGAGGGTCCCGGGTTCGATTCCAGTCAAGGGCACATTGGTCTGATGTGCAGGAGGCAGCCGATCAGTGATTAACTCTCATCATTGATGTTTCTATCTCTCCCTTACTCTCGGAAAGCAATTAAAAACACACCCAGGTGCGTGAAATTCATGCCCTCGGGAGGAGGGATCCCTCAGCCCGGCCTGTGCCCTCTTGTAGTCCGGGAATCCCTATGGGATGTCGTGTGGAGCGGGCCTAGGCTGGCAGTCAGACATCCTTAGCACTGCTGCCTCCTGCATGCCCCACACACAGGGGATTGAGCCCACAACCCAGGCAAGTGAGCGCCGCCAAGTCAGGCTGCATCTGCGTAATCTTATGGGACCACCGTCCGAAATGCAGTCCTTCAAAGACCAAAATGTCTTTTTATTTTATAGAAAAGTATGTTTTTATTGATTTCAGAGAGAGGGAGGAGGAGGAGAAGAAATATCCTGACTAGGGATTGAATACCAGCAACACTTCAGTGCATGTGGGGCCTGGGATGACACTCAACCCACTGAGCCACACCAGCCAGGTCCTAACGTCTTTAAGACATGCATGCCTGTATAGGGAGAGGAAGGGCAAGTTCAGGGTTAGAAAGGCCAGAGGTGTTGAGCCCCCACTTCTACATTGTATCCAGTGTGGCTTTGGGGTGAGGGAGAAGCCAGTTACACACCCTTAAGACCTGAAATGGGAGGAAACAGGCTAAAACTGCAGCAAGAAAACTGGAGGAGAGACTTTAGGAAACACTTCCTCGCCCAAGAGCATAATTGGATGAAGCCAGGGGAGTTTGGGGTTCTCTGGGGGAGACCAGGGTTGGAGGGCTGGAGGCACAGCTGTCAGGGGTCCTGGAGAGGCAGGACTTACGTTGGGACAAAGTGGGTAGAGGAAAGCATCTAGCCTCAACCCCATCCTCCAGAGAGCCAGTGGGCGGGGGACACGGGGTTCCAACAGATGGTCCTCAGCCCCACGCCATCTGCGGGCAGAAGTCAGAGGCTCTGGGAGAGTTCATCCGGAGTCTGGACAGAAGTGGGTGTGGGGCCCCTCGGATACTGGGCTGCCAGGAATAAACAGACCTCCTCCTGTTCCCAGCGCTGGCCTCCTCCCTGAGGGATCCAGGATGTCTGTGTTTCTTCTTGCTGCTCTGTCTAAACACTGTGTGTGGGATGACGTGTGAAGGGGGACAGCTTAGGCGGTGGGAACTGGGAAGCCTGGGTTCTATCCCCTGCTCCCTCGCCGTTTCTTCCTTACTGGATTATCCAGTTCCTCTCTGCTCCCCCACAACTCCTGGGACTGACTCATCTGCCTTTTCTCCTTTGCCCAAAGGAGCCCAGTGCAGGCAGCCTGAGGTGCTCCGTTCAGCTGACTCTGCAGGCTCTACCCCACACCGTCCCACCCAGGTCTCCTTTCCTCAGGGCAAGTCTGCATCATGGTACCCGATCCAGGCTCTAGCAGGGAACGCTCTGGATATTTTTGCTGATCCTCCTCAAGCTGCTGTTCAACCCTTCACTAAGTCT